CTTTTTTCCATGTTCTCCCCTCTCATTGCTTCTATTCAGGCTCTAATGTTTAATATAAGGTCACTTCTCTGGGAAACTCCTTCTGACCCCCTGATTTAGATCTGGTTCCCTTGTTATACGTTACCACAGATCATGTTCTTTTTTTTTTTTTTTTTTTTAAAAAGCATTTGTCTTGATTTGTAATCTTTATGTATTTGAGTGATTGTTTTATTAATATTTCTACACCTTCCACTGTATCCTCAAAATAGTTATCATAAACCAGGGACCATGTCTAGTCTTGCTCACCATCACATCCCTAGAATCTACAACATAATGAACTTTTAATTGATGCTTGTTGAATGAATGAACACATGAAATGAAGAATGGGTGGATGGATGAATGAATGAATGGTTGGATGAGATTTATGCCCTCTTTTTTACAGGATCATTCTACCACTAATATCCTATAGGGCTTTGATAAGTCAATCTCTGGCTTCACAGCTTGCTTACCTGTAATATTATGAAGGACTGGACTAGAAAATGGTCATAATACTTCCAGTCCTACCACACTAGCTTTTGAAATTTGAGACTCAGCATGCTTTAAAAGCTTGCAATTACATAAATGTACAACCATGTGATAAGAGTTAATTGACCACCTGGATAATACATCTTCTGCTATTTTAACTGATTCATATTGATGTATATATGCTCCATATGCTTAATTAGGACCCTGAATTATTTTCTTCATTTACTAAAAATTATTCTGGTAGCTATAAGAATGCAGGTGGCTGGTAAGCCCTTTTGCAACTAGACACTAAATAATAACATTAAGTTATTCTATTTTTTAAGATATTCATCTTCTTATATTCTCTTTAATTCTAAGTAAGGTTGTACATGTCATACCATTATTCATAATAAAAGTTCTTTCTTTAATTAAATGGTCTTGTGTAAAATTTATATCACTGATTTTATAATTGCTATTCAATTAATAAAAGACCATTTTACTATAATAACATTAGAATACTTGTGAAGTATTTTAATTAAATTTTACTTACCTCTTCTAAAAGAAATTGCAATCTGTTTCTAATACAGTTAAAGGGAAATTCTAACACTGTTTGCAGTGGAAATTACTTTCCTTTTTGAGATATATTTAATTTATGTCTACATAGTCCTAAACATACAGATGAAAATTTTCAATTTAGTGAATCCCTTTATGGTGAATACCAAAAAATTCCTAGATAATTGTTTTTTAGAGAACTTTTTTGATATCCAAATCAATAAATAAATATAACCTTGGAGGCTTATTTATTTGCTTTTGTTTATTTACTTTTTTGTCTAGCGTAAGTTATGCTTTGATTATGGTGAATGACTTACATACTAGATCTTCCTCTTTAAATATCCTTGCATGTAATTTTCCTTACTTGCAATTATGATTAATTGAGAAATTCATAGCAGTTAATCTTCATTTCTCTAGAAAGTTAAATTAAATGAGCTAACTGAAACGAAACATTTAGCTCTATGCTTGGCACATGGTAACCAGTGAATAAATATCAGCTTTTGCTATTATCATAACTTATCAGTATTCTTTCCATATTTTTTCCTTTTTAAAAAATCTGAGTATAGTTGATATACAATGTTACATTAGTTTCAGGTGTACAACATAGTGATTCAACAAGTTTATACATTCATTATGCTATGTTCACCACAAGCGTAGCTACCATCTGTCCCCATACCTTGCTATTACAATTTCACTACGTTCCTTATGCTGTGCCTTTTACTCTTGTGACTTATTCATTCTATAACTGAAAGCTTGTATCTCCCACTCCCTTTCACCCATTTTGCCCAACTCCTACCAAATATTCTTGATCAGTGTTTCCTACTCATTTGACCTCTGGAAATGTTTTTGTTTTTAAATATGTACTAAAATCACAGTAAGGGGAGGGGTGCCTAAGTGGCTCAGTCAGTTAAGCATCTGCTTAACCCAGGGTCCTGGGATTGAGCCCCGAGTCGGGCTCCCTGCTCAGTAGGGAGCCTGTTTCTCCCTCTTCCTCTACCTGCTGCTCTCCCTGCTTGTGGATGCTCTCTCTCAAATAAATAAATAAAATCTTTTAAAAAAAATAATAAAATAAAATCACAGTAAGGGAAATGCTGTTTCTGATTAGACTATTAGTATATATAATTACTATCATGATATTCATCAGTTGGGCTTGAACATTTTGGTCATCTTCTGGCTCCGTAAATGAAAATACCACAATTATGATCATAAATAGACTTAGTACTAATATCACATATATGGATACACGAAATTTGTTAAAAAACTAGATTTCAAATTATTTTTAGTATACCTACTCATTTTCCTCTTCATATCATTAACAAACATGCTGATCCTCGTCAGAATTCTCAAAAAGATTTTAGGGATTTGTTACGTACACTGTCAGAACTTCTAATGCAGATTATCCAGGAAAGTTACATGAATGTGTATTTAGTATTACTTCCTAGTTAGTCATTTATTTTAAAAGGGTGCCTAGTAGCTATAAATGCCAATGATCTATATATAGAACTTAGCATATGTCTTGTTATGACTCAAAATATCTGAAAAGCAATTTTAAACATGTATTAATTATACTACTGATTACTATAATGATAATAAGCTCCACCAACACCCAAGAAGAGATGAGTGGAGGCACAGAAAACATATCCAGAGGAGCCAACTATACTGATGTGGAAATAAGTAAAGTTCATGGCACAGTTTTAGGGTAGGCAATTACTCTCAAACTCACCTGTGCTGTAGCCAGGGCTTGGAAAGTGTGATTATGCCAGAGCCAGGCTGGGATTAGAGTAATACCAAATCAAATGGGAAGAATATAAATTTAGGCATTCTTTTCTTTCTCCTGGAAATGACTAAGTGTTCATCAGTGCAATGGAGTAACATATCTGTTCTGAGAAGTTGCATTAGATCACATATTATGAGTTATCAAACATGAAGTTTACTCAGAATTTCCAATCCAAGATTTGATTCTGATTCTCTGCACATTTAGAAAGACCATAAACATAATTATGTTTCACTACACTATAGTGTTAAACCCTATATTAGCTACCAGCAGAAAGTGACCTTCCATTGGCCTCTATGAAAATGCCATTGGGTTATTGCTACTCAGTACTTTCCTAAATTTATTGTACATGAACCGTTTTCATCTCTATATTTATGCAAGCTGCATGAGGCATTAGGTCTTTACCTATGACAGTAGTCTGTATTTGGTTTTTCTGACTATTATATGCCCAGTAGCCAGGACACTGCTTGACATAGAGTGGGAGCATGATAAATGTTTGTTGAATCAAGAAATAAATCAACTGAACAAATTTTATATTAACTTACTTTCATTAATTCTCCCACAAAAATATGCCTGCCCTTACTCTTTACCTACGTCCATGTTGTGAATTTCATATATATGGTCTTCTACCTGGACATGTCTTCATTTACAGAATGTGTAAAAAAAAAAATTAGTCCTTGGAGTCACTTGGAGTGTTTTTGTAAAACAGATTCCTAGCTTTTATCTCAAACGTATTGTTTTGGAATCCTCTAGGCCTTGAGACCCTGATAGCTTTTATTTTTACCAAGCCCCCCAGTTGATGATTCTGCAATTTAGTGATTTCATTGAATCTACTTGATTCAGTGAACTCTTATGCCTATCAGTGAAATCTCTCTTTGCCTATAAAATCCTGGTACATGGGTGGGGTTGGCCTCCATACCAATCCACAGACACCCTATAACCAAGTGTCGATCATGGCTTTCAAGGGATGTTAATGGTCTTCCTTAACATTTTTGCCCCTATTTAGTCCTCTTGCTCATTGTTTTGAGGCTCTGTCCAAATGGACTCTTCTTTAGGTATATTCCTTCTGCCGATCCTTGAAGAATGGAGAAAAGTAAGGAGACTGATTCTGCCCCAGATTAGATTAAAGGAAGATTGCAGGGAAAGCAGAGAGGTCATTGTTGTCTAGTGGTTTAATGTGTGTAAGTCAGTGTAAAGGGCCACTCCATGGCATCAATCACACTAAACAAGTTCCAGTCACTTGAAAAATATTCCACTAATAGTTATGGAATAAATAAATAGATTTCCATGCCCTTTCCCAAATAATGTTTTAATTTGAAACATAATCTTCCAATTGTTTTGGAAGTTTAGTTTTGACATGCATAATTTTTTAACTTTAAATAACTGAGCAGAAGCACAAATGAATTCTGAATGTATATCTCTCTTCTACATGTAACTGACATTCACTTGATTAATACCGAATTCCTGACAGTGCCCTTAAATTCAATTTGGCCCCTTTAGCACAAGTTACTCATACACTGCCTAAACACTCTAATGAACTGTAATTTAATCATTTGCATTTTCAACTTATTAAAAGAACGCTGAAAATTATTTCAATTACAAATCCAAGAAATTACAATTCACAGAAATGATTCATAAGTAGTGATTCACTATTTTCTTTTTTTCTTATCATTTTTTTAATTTATTTTCAGCATAACAGTATTCATTGTTTTTGCACCACACCCAGTGCTCCATGCAGTCCGTGCCCTCTCTAATACCCACCACCATAGAACACATCTATTTCCCTAATAGGCCCATCTTATATTTTCATCCTCCTTATTTTGGGTTTTTTGACTGCCAATTTTATCTTCTCAAAAGGACAGATTCCTATCCTAACTCAGAACCACACGCCTTATTTCTCCAATGTTACATTGTTTCAGTTAGTGGTTTTCTCCATGCAGTATCAGTGCTAATGCTATCTAAGAAAACAACGGTTATCTTAGTTATTTAATTAAAACAGTGGACTCTGAATAAAGAGGGTTTTTTTTTGTTTGTTTCGTTTTGTTTGTTTGTTTATTTGTTTTTTTCCAAAGGATCAAGGGTTGAATGAGGCAATTCTGGCCTTATAATACAAAATATTAACTACAGATAAGTACACTCTCGTATACTTTCATCTTCAGAAATACACCTCTGTGGCTTTACTATAACCTACCTTTGGACAATCCCATGTCTGCCAGTCATCCCTGAAATCACATATAGACAGAACCGAAACGTTCTGGATTCTTTTTAGCCACTGCAAACATATCCGTTCATCAGTAACCCATGTGAGCCAACTGAAATAATAATCACTGCACAAAAGCAAAACAGAGAGTCACAACCATAAACCAGCATCACATCAAATAATTTAAGTTCTGTTTTCTAAAGGATGTGTTTTATTATAACAAAATATCTATTCCATAGATAAGGAGGGTAAAACTTTCCATTCTCTACAGAGAAGGCTTAACTGTGCTTGCTGAATTGTTTTTATGTTGTTTATTATTATTATTATTTTTAAAAGAGAGAGAGTGCAAGTGAGCCCAGGGCAGGTGTAGGGGCAGAGGGAGAGGGAGGGAGAGAATCGATGTGGGGCTCCTTATAGTTCATGACCTGAACCAAAATCGAGAGTCAGATGCTTAACCTACTGAACCACCCAGGTACCCCATACTTGCTGACTTTTAAAGAATATCTATAAGAGAGCTCATTCATCTAAATGGAATAATTTTATGCTTGAGTTTTTTCCTCATTTTGGATTTTTACATCTTAAGAAAAATTTTAAGGGGTGCCTGGGTGGCTTAGTGGGTTAAGACTCTGCCTTTGGCTCAGGTCATGATCCCAGGGTCCTGGAATCAAGCCCCACATCGGGCTCTCTGCTCGGCGGGGAGCCTGCTTCCTCCTCTCTCTCTCTGCCTGCCTCTCTGCCTACTTGTGATCTCTGTCTGCCAAGTAAATAAATAAAATCTTTTTTAAAAAAATTTGAGACATGAGGCCAAAGCTATTGGTCAATCTGGAGGGAAAAAGCATTAAACTGGTGATTTTTCACAGGTAAACTGAATTTTTCACTTTTTAACTCATTGAGAGAGAACCACATATGATACTTGCCCGTATTTCTCTCCAGGCAGGTTTGTTTTGGAAGCTGAGTTTTAACTGTGACCATGATCAGAAGTTGCAATTCAGGTTTATTGTAATAATCAGAGATGACGTATACTCAGTAGCTCAAATGATGTTGGGCGTGTGCTGGTGTCAGTGAATGGCACCAATTGCTCCTGGGCTTTGAGGATGAAGCCACCAATAGAGACCATCAATGTAAATAAACCACAGACTTTTGGACATTGATGTAAAAGAAATCCCAGAACTGGAAGGGTCTCTGGCTCAGATTCTAGTTTTACCTCCTACCGGTTATCCTATTTAAGGCTACTTACTTAACATATCTGTGCCTCTGTTTCTATATAAAATGGGAATAATAATATTACCAAATTTAAAGCTTGCTACAAAACTTATTGAGAGTGCTTAAGTTCTTGAGAATTCCACCTGCTCCATGGGGAGTGCTAAGAAAAGTTTAGCTCTTACTATTAAATTGTTAGTATTTTACAGATGCCCCAACAAAGCCTCTTGCCTCCTTCTACAGTACCCCTTGTATCATTCCATTTGCCTCCTAAGAAGAATGACACTTCAAAAGAAAAAAAAAAAAAAAGATGCATTTAATCAAGTTTTCATCAACTAGATTGGGGTTGGGGGAGTAATGGATCATCCCCCCAAAAATAAATAAATAAAGCCATTTAAAATTATCTGCAAGTGGATTCACCCCGGTAGGACCCAGAAAAGGCCTCTGTTGAGGTTCTTTTCCCTGTTAGGGATCAATTGCTCGGTCCTGGCTAGACTCTCCTTCATGGGGCAGCAGGAGAGAAGCCAAGCCGTGGCCTGCTAGGGTTTGGGAAGTGGTAAGGAGGCCCATCAGGCAGGGTGTAGGGGACCTCTTATGTTTATCTACTTCAACTAGAATGACCGCAGAAGATTCATGGAGGGCTGGGTCGTGGCTATAACCAGGGATAATCAGCCGATACCTACATAAGGCACCATGCAGGGGAAGTGAGACCGCTTCAAGTCCCCTGTCTACCTATAGTTAACCCCAAACAGATAACTGGACAACCAGATAATTACAGACAGACTGCATCCTAGTAAAAGAAAAGAAAAAAAAAAGCTAATACTGGAGAGGGTTGGCCTATCTTCTCTTGTTTGTCATGCATATGTGGTCAAGCACAATCTGTAAACCCTGTGTTGAAGAGAGTAGACCAGAGTTCAGAGAAGCCATGCTGAGAACACACAGGAATTTTACTATTTGTCTACTGATTCCAAGTTTACATTCACACATCTGAGGGAAGTGTCACTCAGATTGATCACCATGATCATCTTTATATGTGTGAAAGAGGCTAATATTATAAAATTGATTTAATAGATGTATTTTTGATTTTTTAATTTGGTCATGTACTTGGGTTTGCATGCCAATTTTATTTATTTATTTTTGCGTAGAGTATACACATCATAAATTCACTAGAAAGGAAGTATAAATCCCAATTATGAAATTTCAGTGTTAAACTTCAGTGTAAGGTGGGAAGCAGCTGAGTTTACGATACCTTGATGCTATCATTGCTGGAACTGGCACTTCTCTGGGACCTACGTGCTCAGGATAAGTGGCATCGATAATAAATAACCGAACAACAGGATTTTTAGCTCCAGCCTGCCAAAAAATTGGAAATATACAAGCTCATAAAATCCTAATGAGCACCAACATATTAAAGACACTTTAGGAATTTAAGCATATTTTTATAAGTTAATGATATTATGTATACTACTCTTGAAAATATTCTAATTATAACACGACCAGGAATCTCACTTCAATTTTACTTGCAGGGCCATTACAAATATTGAGTCAACCAGAGTGAAAAACACATATTTTAAGTGATTAATGAGGAAGCTTCGATTCATAGGGAAAAAAATATTTTGGGTATGAAAATACAGTTCTATAATTGATATTCTCTTTTCTGAATTTCAAAACAGATATTTCCTATTATTATATTAGGATAAGTATAATAATCATTTCTCCATGTGCTAGAGGGAGCATAGAGGAAAGAAGAGTGTAAAGAATAAAAAATGAAAGATACTTTTTGCCTTGCACCCTATCATTTGGTCTAGGACAATCATCACTCAATCTGGTTACATTACTACTGCTATCATCCCCCCCAAATTAGGGAAATGTCACCTCCAAATAAAGTGCCCATGGAATTTGCACTTTTCTTGTTTTGTACTTTCTGTGCTATTATACACCCTAAATTTACATGACAGTGTAGTTCACACCCAGACAGCTTCTTAGAGTTCCTGTTATTTTAACACAGAAAAAGAGAGTATAATTGTTAAACAATTTAAGTCCACAAAGTTTAGGTTCACAGCCTTAAATGACTCCATGCTGGTTGGATTTATCTAAAGAATTGTCCAGGCCCTCCTCTGACCTGTCCAGGCCCTTCTCTGAACTGTTTCCTGATGAGGTTTCATTGGGACTTTTAACTTCTTTCAAGTTGTCTCACTTCTCAGTCTAACGTCAGATGTTTCAACGACTTCAGTTTTCAAGGAAACATGAAAATTTGGGTCCCAGCTTCTCTACTAGTGTCAGTCAGGCCTCAGTTCCAGGTTCCTACATGTCTTCCTGTTCCCTTCCACCCTTCCAAAGATCCAAGCTCATCTCGGGCCCCAAGTACCACACCTCTCGCTTCCCAATGTCTCCAGCATTCTCACTTTATAACCAGCTATTGAGAGGTCTTTTACCTAAACATACATCTTCTATCCACTGCCTTTTCTCAGATGACTTTTAACATAAATTTTAGACCATCTGCTATTTCTGTTTCTTTTACTGCAACCACTTTGACTAGCATTGAAAACCACTTGGCGTATGCACACCCGCCCATCTTTGTCACATATAGGACCCACTGGATCCATCCTCTCTCTGGCAACTAAAGAACAAAACTCTGGCAACTAAAGAACAAAGCACTATTTTCTAAAATCACTTCCACTCCCTGTGAGAGAGGAGGATTTATGATTTGATCCCTTTCAGATTTATTGTCAAAATCAGATCAGGGTATGGTGCTTCTCCCCCGTGACCTTGCTGTTTTCTCACTACAGACACGGGAGACTTCTCTTCAGACATGGGACTGAGTGAAAAGTGTGTACACTGAGATTTCTAGAATTATTATACAAGAAACCTCGGGTTCACTCCATGTCTAATTTCCTCAAGGAAGAATGTAGGCTTACAAACTTAACCTACCTTATATGTCCAGAAAAGATCATAACTCATGCCCACTTCTACCTGACAGGAATATCAAGTTCACCACTTGTATTTTCCATTCTAGTTTGCATTTCCATGAGAATTCAAGAAGGAATTGCAAAACAGAACTTTACCCTGAATTTGGAGCATGAAATAAGAAAAATTAAAATTAAGTTAAGCTTGTTTTTCCTCCATAATCTAGACCATATGTTTTTCAAAGATTCTGCGATGGATTTTGCAAAGACTCCTTCATCCAGCACAACCAGATGTCCAAAGCAACAGATGTCCACATAAATAATAGAGCACAGTACAATGTTTGCCTTACAATGCACAAGGATAAGAAGCTCTCCAAACTTGTTGATCCCACCTCTATTCATGGTATTGGTTGCTCATTTTGACACCGGAGAAATGGAAGCATCTGCTAAAAGTACTCAACATACCTTTGGGTATGGAATATTTATTGTTCTAGGATATTGTTCATCACCATAATAGGAATAGGCAATAACTGGTATCTCTGTATCATTAAATTCTGCATATGCCAAAAATTTTCCATTAGGAGACCACCAGAGAGCATATTTTGTAGCAAGCATTTCCTCTGAAAAATAAATACAAGCATGTTAATTACAGCTATAACTTACTCTTAAGATCATTGTAAATGCTCCAAAGTATATTGTATTAGCCATTTACTGACTGAAATAATTTATTTAATGTGGATGTTACATATGCTAAAATTTGGTTATTAAAAAGGACAATCTGAGTTTAAAGAAATAGTTTAACCTTCTATTTCGTATCAAATATCAACCAGTCTTCTTAGGAATTGATATTAAATCAGAAATATAATTATTTAAGGAAAGTAATTAAACATTTCAACAATAAATAATTTTTCCTTTGGGGGCAGCTTCTAGTTTTTATAGTCACCTAAAGTAGCACAAACAAGGGGAACAGTAATTATACTACAAAGTGACATAAATGTTGGAAGTTGACTTTTCTCCTAGGAATATTTTAAAAAACAACAACAGTTTGGTTATATATTTTTTAATAAAGGCAAGGACTACGAGACCTTTTAACATCCAGGTAAGTCCTGGATCCTACGTGACCTGGAAAGAGGATGAAAAAAATTCACGAAAGCATCAAAAACTAGGAATATTTCCCTGCAAAATTACATAGACTGCTGTTTCATTTTGGAAGAAGGCTTATTTCTCAAGAAAAAAGAAACCTGAGGCAATGTGTTAACATAGTATCTAAGGACCATATACTTCTTGAAATATAAATTATTACTACCACTTTATAATATTTATGAAAATTAACTCTTCCAGGCAGATTATTAGATTTTGCTTTTTCAGAACAGGCACACCCTGTTCCTAACTTGGTAATCATTTCAGAAATGATTCCATTCATCTCAGTAACATACTACTCATCTCCATTTTACTAAATATATGCAATTATTTTCAATTAAAAGCCTAAAATAACAACACTAGAAAAAGAATACAGCTTACCTTCATACACCCAGTCTGGGATTCCATTGAATATTTTATTTTCTTTTCCATTATATGTTACTTGAAAAGGTGGGTCTTCTGGTCTTTGCTTCAAATAGATATTGTTTTGATAGACGTATACCTAGAAGTGGTAGTAAGTTAGTTAATAAGGAGAATTCCTTAAGAAATACAATGAAGTCTGTAAATTTGTATTAACTATTTACTTAATACCTGCAAAATGAGTGGTAATCCAGATGCAAAAAAGACTCACAACTAAAGTATTGCCTTAATAGGTCAGAAAACTAACCAACTCACATTAACATCAATTATGATCTTTAAAGTCTGTATCAAATAAAGCATTAAGTCTACTATTGTATTTGTTGTTTTATTACCCAAATAAGCAATTGTGTATATTAACAGAAAGTCAAATAAATCTTTGAATATTAATAGCTAGCCAGATCTAATCTTTATTTAGAGTCCTTAAATAAGAGCTTGGACAAAATTTCATGTTGTCTGAAGCTAGTCTGGGAAACTTGTGAAAACCATATTTTTCCTCAGCTTTCTGGCACAACGCATTCTGGCTGAGTATGAGGATAAAGTTTTTGACTGCGATATTTAAAGAAGTCTATCCATGAGCTTGAGATTTTGCGGAATTCTCAGATGAGTTTCAATTTATCAAAACTCTTCCCATTTTTAACCACTAAAATAGTCATGAAATTTTTTTTTTCCTTTCAGGCAGGGAAATTTAACAAAGGCCAAAATCAAATGGCTCCTCTTTTATTTAAATGATTAAACACTTCTATAATTTAAACACTTACTAATTTACTCCCAACAGGCGACCAGCATAAATACTGAATTGGACGAGGAAGCTCATTTCTTCTTATAAACGCTCTAGAAGGAAAAAAAAAAAAAAAAAAAGAAAGAAAAAATAATAATAAATCTTGCTGTTCAATAAAAAAATTTTGTAAACAGAAAAAAAAATATAATAACAATGAAGGATCATCCTCTGTTTCTTCAAACCTAACAGAAAGACTGTGGTAACAGTCTTGTTAGTATTAGACACATTGAGTACTAGTTGGGGTTCTTTACTAGTTACTTAAGTCACCTAACTTCTCTGGGTCTCAGTTTTCTGACCTTTATAGTGAAGTGAATTAAAGATTTATTAAAGATTTATAGGCTGTGAAAGCGGGACTGTCTCTAGACATTATCTGATGGAACCCCTTTGTTTTATAAAAAAGGAACATGAGGTTAGAGAGATATGACTTTTTAAAATCACATGTCTGGTTCTCAGCAGACCTCTACCTAAACTCAAGTCTCTTAACCCTCAGGATGGTAAAATTTGTACACATCAGGCTGAGATGGTCGATGAAGTGCCTTCCAGCTCTCAAATGCTATAATTGTGCTGAAGTTTAATATGTACTCTTCCACATTCTCATTTACAACCCCCATCTCTGTGAATGCATATGCATTTCAAATTTTTGAAAATAAGATGCCATTTGACAATCTCCCCAGGGATCTGACTTGAAATCAGAAAAGGAAAGGAACATCTGATCTCAAGCTAAACTGAAAAACAGATCATACACTGGGCAGTATGCCTTAAGCTTGCAAAGTTCTCCACCCATGGGGAAATTTCAAATATCTTATTGGCCCCAAATCTCACTTTGATGCCTAGAGTCACCCTGCAAATACTCAATTGACTAACTTGCACTGAGGAGACTTTGTGGTTCTTCAACAAGAATGTGTTCAGATTTTTACAAGTGCTAAAGACTCATAGGATGCCATGCTCAAGTTTTGACTATTATCTTGTTGAAGATTGCGTCAATGGTTTTGTTAAGAATGCTTTCATAGAGACACAAAACCATATATAAATAGAGGAACCTGAAGAAAGACTCTTTGGCCTCCCCATTCAAAAACTAACTTCAACCGGATTTAACATATGCCTGACATTTCTACTTTTTTCATGCTTTTAAAGTTTGGACACCTGTGACTTTGAAGTAACGTCTTTGGTCATGAAGCCTGAGGCCTAACAAACTGTGAGGGAAAATGGGTAGGTCAGTTCCGATGGCAAAGAGAGTAATGTCCATGGAAGAGAGAGACCTTTGGTGCTGCAGCGAGAATCCTGACTGCCAGAGGGCAGTTGACAAGCAGCAGAAGAAAGGGCCAGAATCTATTAAAAGACATAGGGCACAGGCAAAGGAATGATCCAGAAAAGAAGACATTCTTCACCTGGTTACAGTTCTGTGTCAAGCCAGGGTTCATGCTACCTTTGACATTGTAACAGTGTCTTAGGTTTCCATATGCTGTGGAATGATCTATGCAAGCATGCAGTCAGCGCCAAGCTGAAAAATCTCAGCACACAGTCTCTTCATGACTGTCACGTCACTGCAGCTGCCATTTTCTGTTTTCTAAATAACTAACACTATGAGAGAAAGTGGAGGAGGCTGCTTACAAAGGCTGTCATCTTCTTAGTACTCCTTCCTATGCTTGAAACCAGAAGCATCTTTACTTGCTCTGTGGTAGATTTTTATAGACTCTTCAGAGGCACATACAAAACTTGGAATTAGTGCTTTGTGGTCTTGTCTTGAATCTCAGCATATTTGTCATCTGTCACTTCCTAAATTATGCTATATTTACCTGACTTAAAAAAAAAGCAGTCTGGAAAATTAGATAGTTGTGCAGAAAAGAGTTTAGAAAGAAGGAAAAGAAAGAAAGAAAGAGAAAAGAAAGAAGGAAAGAAGGACTATTATTACTGAACTCACTACACAAAAACTAAATATTTAAAATGATTCTGGGCCATAAAGCTTATACAAGCCATAATTAAAATATTAGTATTGTCATCTTCTTTTGGAACTGTTTAATTTGTTGAACCTCAGCATAGATAGGACATGGAGAATTTCAAAATAACTAAAAAAATAAAAGGAAATGTTTCAAGCCTTAAGAAATTATGCTGATCTAAGACTGAGGTTTTTACTTCACTAGTTTCAAGTTTTCTTGAAATTAGGCTTAATGCCTTAAGTTCATGTGTGTCTCTCCCACATATGCTTTTCACATAGGTGTTCAACAAATACTTTTTGAATTTGGTGATGATGTGGATACAGACAAGAGAAAGACTCAGAGTACATTAAATGAGTACATTCTACTTTATGTAGCAGTTCCTATTTTTTAATTTGACTGTTTAAAGTCAGAGTTATTCTTTTCTGAAGATTTAAAACAAGTAGAATTTTTTTTTTAATTTTTCTACTCTTGCTGGACAAAAGAGGAAATAGACCATAAAATTTTTCAATACCTCTTCAAGCCATATAATTATTTTTCCCTTTTATATAACAGCAATAGGATATCACATTAAGATGAATAACTAAACCTATTCATTGTCCATACTTAGAGTGATTTTTCTAAAGTGTAAATCTGATCATGTCATTTCCCATTTAAAACTCTTCAGTGATTCCCTATTGTCATCAGAACAACATCTAAACTCTTCTTAATGGTTTCCTCATTATTATTTGGCCCCTGCTTCCTGGACCCAGCTCCTTCCTAACCTTAACACCACCTCTCACTAGTCAGCATGCCCTTCTTCAATTTCAACTGAACTGACCTACTTTGAGTTTCTGGAACACTCCATGCTCTCCCTTCCCTTTGGGCCTTTATACGCTATTCCTTCTGCCAGGAATTCTTTCCCTACTCAGTCCTTTTTTTTTTTTCTTTTAAATTGCAAATATTTCAAATAGTTAAACATTACAAATAAATAAAGAAAATAATTTAAGTAGATGACAACTTATCTACAACCTAAATTTAAGAAATATTTACATTTTGCAATTTTAAAAACAATTGATTTTACAACAATTAATGGATTATGTGTTTAGGTACAACTATTGCATCTCCTTCCCTTCTGCTTCCTTCCAATGAAGTAGCTACTCTCCAGAAAGTAATGTATCATTCCCATGCCTGTGTTTGTACTTTGAGCACATACGTTTACTTTCATTAGTGGGAGTTCTGAAGTAGGGAAAATAAAACTGCATTGTGTGTACAAATATAAAATATTAGTCAAATAAAAACAGGTAAATATTCCATAATGATATTTCTTTAAATTTCTTAAGTTGTATGGGTACACACATACTGTAAAGAAGTAAGAACCTGAGATCAGTAACAAGATAATGTGATAATGTTGTCTTAATTTCAAATCAGAATTTAGGTTGAAAACTATAATAGATGTAAGTAGTATGAATAAATAGATATGAAATCATGAAATTTTACCCATGATTAAGGTCATAGATGTGATATGTTGCTGTATAAGAGTATCGCCAAAGCTGTCAGAGAGAAGAGATATGAAAACAAATTACAATTCTTAAAAAGCTTATGTTAGTAATGTATCATCACAAATCACTCAACTCAAGAATCGAAATTATAAGATGACAATTTTCACAAGGCACCAGGAAGGATATGTTTCAATTCCAAAAGAGTCTTCATTTAAAGAGTTTTACTGTGGACTTTTGTGCTGTTTGTCTAAGTTCCAAAACTAATCTCAGCAGTGATTCAACCCTCACTCCATAAAAAGCATATCCGAAGACATTTCTTAATATAAAAAGCTTTTCTTTGACACACTGTCTCCTAAGAATTTTCCCTTTATGCTTTACCTTGATTGAAGTGAAACCTCTATGATCTCCATGGCCTTAAGGATTACCCTACACCTGTCTTCATTACAATGATAACCTCTAAAATTAGGTAAAGAATTTCATTCAACACAGAGTTTTGTTACAAAATGTTTGCCTTGTTCAAATATAATACTTTTAAAAAATAATAGAAATTGAAAAATAAAGAGAAGATATATAGTTTATAATTCCTCCTAAAAAAAAAAAAACCAACCTACTCTTTTTCTCATGAAGTATATTTGTCCTGTGGTTAGTGAATAATACAAGTATTATTTTGGATTTTGCTTCTTAAAAGAGCTTTCAAACTCTTGGCAAAGAAATTCCAACTGGTTGAAACGTGTCTTCCTAAAGATTGCTAGTGACCAGGACCTGGTCCATTGGAAAATAATCAGCAGACAGAACAACTGGGGAGAGGAAAGTTTAACTATTCATTCTGTATATTAAGAGAGTTTTACATCTCACAATGGATATGAAAAATGGCAGTTAACCTATCTAAGAGTAATTACTTTGTCTATCTAAAAGTAATTACTAGAAGTTTAATTTGATAATAAATTCTTTTGCTTTCTTGCAAAAAAATAATTATCTTGATGTTGCATAATTAGAAAAAATAAGATAATTAACTTCCCTCTATAATTTCATTCAGGAACGAGAAATTAAGTAAGGGTAAATGGTTATGGTTTAGTAGGATACTCCTACTCCAGGCTTTTGACCAGAGATTTAAACCCTTGTCCACCACTGCTTGTATATTATCTTATTTGAGGTAGTGAGTTAAATAAGCTACACCTTGATTTTCCCATTTTCAATAATAATAAACTTTCACAAGATCAAAATATGTGAGAATTAACTAATGATTTATGGAATCAAATAGATTTAGAAATACAAGTATAATTCTCCCATTTCTGACAAATATCAGTGCCCCAAAATGCAGCACACCCCCCATCCTGCAGGAAAGTAGTTTCTATTACTGGATGATAGCCAAATAAGAACACCAAATTCTGAATATTTGTATATGTTTCAGTTATGTTTTGGGGATTCGTCGAGAATCCACATTAACTTCTTGAATATTTAGATATAAAAATGTACTCTTACTTCCTCTCACTTTTATAAGCCAAACTGTGGATTAGTAAGAGATATAGACAGATACACCCAAATTAAATAGTCCATACCTTTGAATAATCGCTTTCTAGATATGCAAATTGCCGATCAGGTGATAAGCCATAATTTGAAGCATTCACACTTTTCTGAAATTATAAAGAAGTTGATTAGAATACAGAAAAAAAAATACCCAGACCCATGTAAATGTGTATTTTTAAAAGGATATCATATAACTGATATACTCCTACGTACATATGCTTTCAATGTAATTTTTAAAAACGTTTACATGGTACTTACTGTATACAAAGACATTTATTGAACACTATGGGAGGACGATGTGAGAAATAGGACATACTCTGTGATTTCTAGACGCTTAAGACGTTAAACTTGAAAATAAGTAAGGTATTGCAAATTAGAAAGTTCTGATAAAGAGTTACAAATACAGCATTGCAAAAGTATTAAAAAAAGAAGCATTTAAATCCAAATGAGAGGACTGTTGATCGCACAGAGGAGGACAGTATCATCGGAGCTTGATTTTAAAACATTAGCAGGCTTCTGAGGGTGGAGAAAGCAGGAGGTTGGAGAGCCGAGGGGAGAGAACAGCACGCGCCTACATTTCCTCACTCTTGTTTATTGAGCATGTAATCCTTGTTAGGCGCCATCCGACCACATTCAAATGTTACATCACTTACCTCTTACAGTAACCCAGAGAGGGATTATTCTTCCTACTCTTTAGAGAGAGAAAAATGAGACACACCGTGGCTGGTATAGTGAGGAATCTTATGTAATTTTCCATAACTAGGGAATTGAAAGAACCCGGATGGGAGCCTTGGTTTGCCTCTTGTAAGGACTGAGTTCTTGACACTTGTTTCTTGCTACACTTTTTCCACCGAGAAATAAAGATGCTAGGTGATTGAGAGGAGGCAAGGGCAGTTGTCTAGGTGACTAGAAAAGAGAATTTGAGAATTTAGTGGGAGATGGAGCCAAGAAGGCAGGTCGGGTCCAGATCAAGTACTGAGAATTTGGACTCTGGTCCTTGATCAGTGAAGAGATGGCAAAGTTTTTGTGGAGGAAGGAGTTGCTGGATACATACCATGGTGGCATTACTCAAAATGGTATATGATTCTCCTGTTTCAATATTGTAATATACTATATCATTATCTGTAGACTGATGAAGATATTCTTGTCCTTTAAACAAGAAGGAAAACAAACTTGAAATGATCTCTCTTTATAGGAAATACGTTTACAAGAAAGAGAAACCTCTCTTATTTCACAGATTTACTTTGTTTTTCTTCCCTGTCCAGGGCATTGCTTTGTCAGATTTAAAATAAGAAGTTGACAGTGGAAGGGAGGAAGGAATGCTCTTTTCTATTCTCCACAAAAATGTCATGTTTACCAGTAGCTGCCCTATTATGACCAGCCCAGGGTGCTTGGGAATAAAATTTTCTCTGTGTTACAAAGAAGATAAACTAGTTTAAAATGATTGTTTTGCAACAACAAAAAATACAGTACATTTGGACTGTGTTTGATTTAGTTTAAAACCCATTTGATGTTCATTTTATTTCCTGAAGAGAAAAATTAAAATATTCAAATTTATTTAGTTGTACTTAGATATAAACTACAATGTCATGGACAACTTAGTCGACCTTACCATTTATTTGATTAGACTTATTTGGCAATGTCTTATTTTGGAAACTTATATGAAAATATCCATGTTATGGCCCGGGAAAGATTTTTTGGTCAGGGTGGGATTTGTCTATTTCTCAGATTATCTAGATTGACAATGGAAGTTCTCTTTTGGTAAAATTCTTATGACTTATCTCCTAAATAGGTGCATGTCTCCCATTCTGAAGAACAATACAACACGCTCAGATCATTCTAGTAATGCACTCTCAACTCCTACTTTCTTGTCGAAACTCCAACTGGCATCCCTACTATTGGGTAAATGCAGTTCAAATGGTTCTGTCAAAGGTATTTGGTGGCCATTTGACCTATCTAAGTAACTGCTCTTTCTTTTCATTTCAATTGATGTAGCTTCGGTTACCATAGAGATGTGTTGGCACTAAAAATAAAAAACAAAAAAACACATATATTTTTTAAAACCCCCAAAGGTAAATAAGTAATTCACTTACCTGAAATCCAGTTCGGAAAAAATGTTTTATAGGTAAATGTCCCATTTAAAATATCCTTCAGTGTGAGTGCTCTTGTACTTCCTTCAGAGTCGTGAACTTTGGGAGAAATGGAAACATTATTACAAAAAAGATGATTAATAACTTAAATAAATCCTGAGCCTGACTCTCATTTGTTCTGTCTCATATAATGAAAAGCCTGTCCGGGCACCTGGATGGCTCAGTGGGTTGAGCTACTGACCCTTGGTTTCAGCTCAGGTCATGATTTCAGAGTTGTGAGATCAAACCCCAAGTGGGGCTCTATGTTGAGTGTAAAGCCTGCATAACATTCTCTCTGCCCCTCCCCCTCCTGCTTGAGGAGAGCATGACCGCTCTCTCTCTCAAAAAAAAAAAAAAAAAAAAAAAAGAGAGAGAAAGAAAGGAGAAAAAGAAAAGAAAATATTTGCCATTGGTAAACACTTGTTTAACTCCCATCTTAGGATCTGTGAGTGTTATCTCCTTGATGGACAGGCTAATGAAGGCTTTGAGAGGTAGTTTGCTTGCTTGGAAGGACTATGAGGGCATCTAAGAGGGCCATGCTGAGCAGCCGGGATGCTATTCAGGCAATGCAGAGTTGTCAGAGGTTTTTAAAAAAGGATGAGATGATGATCCAACAACTCTAAACCTTGCAAAGCTGGGATTGCAGACTAGCCTAAAAACCTAGTCTTTTAAGCACTTCATTGTATTTTGTCATAGATGCTTGGCTTGGATTACTGCCGATTTATCAACAACATATTTTAGTATCTCCTTCAGTCAGAAGCAATCAGCCCAAATCTGTACCTCCAGACATCTCAAGAGAGGAAGCATGAATGAACCTAGATAATTTCTTATCCTGACTGGGATTTTTATAAAGAGAAAGTGGGGCAGAAAAAACAACAACAACAATAACAACAACAAAACAAAACGGAAAAGCCACATCATCTATACAGATGATCTTAAAGATTCTAGAAGTAGAGGTTTGCCATATAAAACCTCACCTAAGGTAGCTCATAAACCACAAGCAAATTTCACCTATATTTGAATCTTCCAAAACAATTGTGTTTTTCAAACATGACTCTATTCTCAGAACACATTCATTATAGAGCTCCTAAACAGTCAGATACGCCAGATGGATAGTATGGCAACCAACTTCCAATCCTCCTTCATATCCATATTGCCATTCTCCATCCCTCCCACCCTACCCCTTCTCTAGGCCATCACTTACAGAACCAAAACTTAGAAAAATGTCCTATACCTTGAATAGCTTTTGTGAATCTGGTATTTGCCCATGCAAAAATAAAACTGTCGAAGATGAGAGCTGTAACTTTATCCTCCTGTTAAACTCTCTCACAGCTTTCCATAACTCTTGGAATAAAAACCAAAAATGTTTGTCCAAACTGTAGACCCTAGCTGGTTTAGAATGGCCCTCCTGTCCTTTCTTGCCTCTCTCTCATTTCTTTTTAGAGTCCAAACATACTGGGTTTTCTGTTCTTCAGATACTCATTTCTTTCTCCAGGGCTGCTTCTCCTTTTTTCCATGTTCTCCCCTCTCATTGCTTCTATTCAGGCTCTAATGTTTAATATAAGGTCACTTCTCTGGGAAACTCCTTCTGACCCCCTGATTTAGATCTGGTTCCCTTGTTATACGTTACCACAGATCATGTTCTTTTTTTTTTTTTTTTTTTTTAAAAAGCATTTGTCTTGATTTGTAATCTTTATGTATTTGAGTGATTGTTTTATTAATATTTCTACACCTTCCACTGTATCCTCAAAATAGTTATCATAAACCAGGGACCATGTCTAGTCTTGCTCACCATCACATCCCTAGAATCTACAACATAATGAACTTTTAATTGATGCTTGTTGAATGAATGAACACATGAAATGAAGAATGGGTGGATGGATGAATGAATGAATGGTTGGATGAGATTTATGCCCTCTTTTTTACAGGATCATTCTACCACTAATATCCTATAGGGCTTTGATAAGTCAATCTCTGGCTTCACAGCTTGCTTACCTGTAATATTATGAAGGACTGGACTAGAAAATGGTCATAATACTTCCAGTCCTACCACACTAGCTTTTGAAATTTGAGACTCAGCATGCTTTAAAAGCTTGCAATTACATAAATGTACAACCATGTGATAAGAGTTAATTGACCACCTGGATAATACATCTTCTGCTATTTTAACTGATTCATATTGATGTATATATGCTCCATATGCTTAATTAGGACCCTGAATTATTTTCTTCATTTACTAAAAATTATTCTGGTAGCTATAAGAATGCAGGTGGCTGGTAAGCCCTTTTGCAACTAGACACTAAATAATAACATTAAGTTATTCTATTTTTTAAGATATTCATCTTCTTATATTCTCTTTAATTCTAAGTAAGGTTGTACATGTCATACCATTATTCATAATAAAAGTTCTTTCTTTAATTAAATGGTCTTGTGTAAAATTTATATCACTGATTTTATAATTGCTATTCAATTAATAAAAGACCATTTTACTATAATAACATTAGAATACTTGTGAAGTATTTTAATTAAATTTTACTTACCTCTTCTAAAAGAAATTGCAATCTGTTTCTAATACAGTTAAAGGGAAATTCTAACACTGTTTGCAGTGGAAATTACTTTCCTTTTTGAGATATATTTAATTTATGTCTACATAGTCCTAAACATACAGATGAAAATTTTCAATTTAGTGAATCCCTTTATGGTGAATACCAAAAAATTCCTAGATAATTGTTTTTTAGAGAACTTTTTTGATATCCAAATCAATAAATAAATATAACCTTGGAGGCTTATTTATTTGCTTTTGTTTATTTACTTTTTTGTCTAGCGTAAGTTATGCTTTGATTATGGTGAATGACTTACATACTAGATCTTCCTCTTTAAATATCCTTGCATGTAATTTTCCTTACTTGCAATTATGATTAATTGAGAAATTCATAGCAGTTAATCTTCATTTCTCTAGAAAGTTAAATTAAATGAGCTAACTGAAACGAAACATTTAGCTCTATGCTTGGCACATGGTAACCAGTGAATAAATATCAGCTTTTGCTATTATCATAACTTATCAGTATTCTTTCCATATTTTTTCCTTTTTAAAAAATCTGAGTATAGTTGATATACAATGTTACATTAGTTTCAGGTGTACAACATAGTGATTCAACAAGTTTATACATTCATTATGCTATGTTCACCACAAGCGTAGCTACCATCTGTCCCCATACCTTGCTATTACAATTTCACTACGTTCCTTATGCTGTGCCTTTTACTCTTGTGACTTATTCATTCTATAACTGAAAGCTTGTATCTCCCACTCCCTTTCACCCATTTTGCCCAACTCCTACCAAATATTCTTGATCAGTGTTTCCTACTCATTTGACCTCTGGAAATGTTTTTGTTTTTAAATATGTACTAAAATCACAGTAAGGGGAGGGGTGCCTAAGTGGCTCAGTCAGTTAAGCATCTGCTTAACCCAGGGTCCTGGGATTGAGCCCCGAGTCGGGCTCCCTGCTCAGTAGGGAGCCTGTTTCTCCCTCTTCCTCTACCTGCTGCTCTCCCTGCTTGTGGATGCTCTCTCTCAAATAAATAAATAAAATCTTTTAAAAAAAATAATAAAATAAAATCACAGTAAGGGAAATGCTGTTTCTGATTAGACTATTAGTATATATAATTACTATCATGATATTCATCAGTTGGGCTTGAACATTTTGGTCATCTTCTGGCTCCGTAAATGAAAATACCACAATTATGATCATAAATAGACTTAGTACTAATATCACATATATGGATACACGAAATTTGTTAAAAAACTAGATTTCAAATTATTTTTAGTATACCTACTCATTTTCCTCTTCATATCATTAACAAACATGCTGATCCTCGTCAGAATTCTCAAAAAGATTTTAGGGATTTGTTACGTACACTGTCAGAACTTCTAATGCAGATTATCCAGGAAAGTTACATGAATGTGTATTTAGTATTACTTCCTAGTTAGTCATTTATTTTAAAAGGGTGCCTAGTAGCTATAAATGCCAATGATCTATATATAGAACTTAGCATATGTCTTGTTATGACTCAAAATATCTGAAAAGCAATTTTAAACATGTATTAATTATACTACTGATTACTATAATGATAATAAGCTCCACCAACACCCAAGAAGAGATGAGTGGAGGCACAGAAAACATATCCAGAGGAGCCAACTATACTGATGTGGAAATAAGTAAAGTTCATGGCACAGTTTTAGGGTAGGCAATTACTCTCAAACTCACCTGTGCTGTAGCCAGGGCTTGGAAAGTGTGATTATGCCAGAGCCAGGCTGGGATTAGAGTAATACCAAATCAAATGGGAAGAATATAAATTTAGGCATTCTTTTCTTTCTCCTGGAAATGACTAAGTGTTCATCAGTGCAATGGAGTAACATATCTGTTCTGAGAAGTTGCATTAGATCACATATTATGAGTTATCAAACATGAAGTTTACTCAGAATTTCCAATCCAAGATTTGATTCTGATTCTCTGCACATTTAGAAAGACCATAAACATAATTATGTTTCACTACACTATAGTGTTAAACCCTATATTAGCTACCAGCAGAAAGTGACCTTCCATTGGCCTCTATGAAAATGCCATTGGGTTATTGCTACTCAGTACTTTCCTAAATTTATTGTACATGAACCGTTTTCATCTCTATATTTATGCAAGCTGCATGAGGCATTAGGTCTTTACCTATGACAGTAGTCTGTATTTGGTTTTTCTGACTATTATATGCCCAGTAGCCAGGACACTGCTTGACATAGAGTGGGAGCATGATAAATGTTTGTTGAATCAAGAAATAAATCAACTGAACAAATTTTATATTAACTTACTTTCATTAATTCTCCCACAAAAATATGCCTGCCCTTACTCTTTACCTACGTCCATGTTGTGAATTTCATATATATGGTCTTCTACCTGGACATGTCTTCATTTACAGAATGTGTAAAAAAAAAAATTAGTCCTTGGAGTCACTTGGAGTGTTTTTGTAAAACAGATTCCTAGCTTTTATCTCAAACGTATTGTTTTGGA